ATAGTACTAGATTCTGTGTCAAAAATCATCTCCCTACCTGCTGTGGTGGCTTCATGAGGTGGCTGACGCTGTCACTTATTGGTGACTCCTTTGCTTGAAGGTATCAGCAAAAATCGCATATATTCCTGGAAATAGCTTTATTCACCTATATCTCATTATCGTTCTGGTAGGAGCCCCACCTCACACTGTGTGCAGGACTCTGCCCTGGTGCCTTGCCTGGTAACCCAGCCCCTACAATGAAGTGAGGCTTTGCCTGCATCCCTCTTCTTCCTGAGCCAAGAAGTTTCAAGGACTGGTCCTACTGGCAGCTTCCCCAGTGTGCCTGCCTGCCCGGTGTCTCATTGAGCTCCGTGGCCTGGCTTCCTTGCTAATGTCCTCCTTCATATTCCCTCTACCTGCCTCTCTGTGCACTTGTTTCTTTGACTTCTCTGGTGCCAAGGCCATTCAGGACCACACCTTTCTGGCTCTTTCCTAGACCCTTTAGATGTGCTCTTCCTCCTTGCAGCCCAGACTCTCTTTTGGGTCTGGAACTAAATTGCCTTTGAGCAACCCCTCCTCCTCTCCCCATCCTACTCCAGAAAATGTGATGAGTGTGTTAGAAGGATCCATGCTGGTGGAAATGATGGTTGCAACATCAAGGAGGGTCTTTCCCAACTTAATGTCTGGTATTTACTTGTTTTAATCCAGGCTTGTTATAAATTCTCCTTCTTCCTTGAGCGAAAAGGTTTCTGTCCCTAGAAGTTTTTGCAGAAAAATGCATGTGAGTTTTCAACAGTTCAAAACTGTTAGTTAAGACTGAGATAAGGGACAGCTATATTAGCTTCCTAAAAAGAGTTTGGATTCCCCTGCCTGGATTAACTCACCTGCCTACAGTGGCTGGCTTCATATCTATCTGATCTGCTTCAGTGCTGTCTCTTCAAAAAGGGCTTTCCACTCAAGCTGTTTGCAAAAATGCCTTCCCTCTCCTGAGATTATGTGACTCATTCACTTGCCTAGGAGGGCCTTCCTCCTAGACAGCAAGCTAGGAAAGGCAGGAACTATGATTGGCTTATGAAATTCTATTCCTAAAGTATAGCATGACACCTAGTTCAAATGGCTGCTCAGGGGCTGGGGAAATAGCTCAGCAGAATAAGTGTTTGCCTGGAAAATGCAAGGTCCTGAGTTCAATCCCTGGTACCACAAAACAAAACAAAACAAAACAAAAAGCTGTTCAGGAAATATATATTTATTGAATGAAGATTTTTCTCTTTCAGTTGAAATAATGATAGAAAAAAATCTATGAATCTCTGATGATAATGTGCTCACTAACAACAGGAAGAAAAAATAACCCTATTCTGTTTATTACTTTAAAATTCTATTGTCAAGGGTCAGCACATGGACTGACTCAGGGGACTTTGGGATCTCCCAGGGTCTCTTGGGAAGTGCTGGATTATTTCTGAGAACCTCTTCAAGGCACCCCATTTTCCTCACTTACAAATCATGGAAACAGTCCTACAGACAACCTGCAAGTAAGTAAAGTTTTCTCTCTGCTATCAAAACTTGATGTTGGAACCACCATCTTCCAGTTATTTGCCAAAATGACTAACACAAAGGGCAAGAGAAGGGAACCTGGTATATGTTTTCTAGACCTTTTAGAAAACATGGGGTTGTTCCTTTGGCCACATGCAGGCAAATCTACAAAAAGAGTAATATTGTAGACATCAAGGGAATGGGTACTGTGCAAAAAGGAATGCCTCACAAATGTTACCATGGCAAAACAGGACGAGTCTACAACGTTACCCAGCATGCTGTTGGCATGGTTGCAAACAAGCAAGTTAAGGGCAAGATACTTGCCAAGAGGATTAATGTGTGTATTGAGCATATTAAGCACTCAAAAAGTCATGATAGCTTCCTGAAATGTGTCAAGGAAAATGATCAGAAAAATAAGGAAGCCAAAGAGAAAGGTACCTGGGTTCAACTGAAGTGCCAGCCTGCCCCTCCCAGAGAAGCACACTTTGTGAGGACCAATGGGAAGGAATCTGAGTTGTTGGAACCTATTTCTATGAATTCATGGCATAAACTGAGGATGTTGCTCTGCCATTTAGTACCTAATTGGCAGCTTAAGTATTCTAGTTCTTACGTAAAAATAAAATCATCCTGTGTTGTAAGGATGATTTTCTTAGTTGAACAGGTATGTGGTGCCTTCTTACTTCAGAAATATTTGCAGCAGACTTTCACTGTACCTAGTAATTGTGTCTAGTCTTTACTCTTCAGTGTTTTTCTTGCTGAAAGATATTGCTGAGGTATTGTGCAAGTATATACACAAATATTCAAATGTTTATAAAATATTTATATTGGCTTGAAGATCCTGTAAATAGTCATGGGGGAAAGACGTATCAAAATGAATGGAAGTCACTTCAGAAACAAAAATTTTTTAAAAAGACATTGCAGAAAAAAAGCCAAAATTTATTCTTCATAGGCATTTTCTTAGCACATAACCACTTGTAATTCTTTAGCCATTGGAATGAAATGCCAGTGGTAGGAATTCTGTCCTTATGCAGCACTAGAGGAAAGAAATGAAGAATAGCAGCGAAAAGGGGCCTGAAATTCAGAATACATTCACTGTATTATCAACAAGGTTATGGACTTTAGTGATGAATGTGGGGGGAGAGTAGAGAAAATGAGAGTAGACATGCACAAGATGAAGTCTTACTATAAATGAAGTCCCTTCAGCTTTTGCAGTCTAAGCATAGTACTGTATAACTACTAAAGGTTGTAGTTATGTTTATAAGGCTGGGAGATACACCGTACACATTTTTTTCTAGGAGAAAAACGTGAGTACCAATCTTTATTACAGTTGAACTGCTCAGGAGTCTTGGGCTGAGCACCTTACTTTTGAACAGGTGCCACATGTACACCTGAATCTCAACACAGATGCCACAAGGAGCATAGTGATCTTCCTATAAGATCTCTTCAAAAGAGCTTCCTTGACCTGCTAAGCCATTGTGTTTATTGGTTTTAAGCCTGTATTTCTTTTATTTATTTATTTATTTATTTATTTATTTATTTATTTTTGTACAGGGTCTCACTATGTAGCTCGGCCTTATAGTGATCCACCTGTTTCAGCTTCCCCAGTGCTGGGATTATAGGCATGCATCACCACGCCTGTACCCAGTGGCTAGCTCAGTGCACCTGGGGGTGGGACTGGCACAACATATGGTGCCCAAGATCGAACCTCAGTCCCTGGGCTTGCCTAAGCAGGCTCTTAGTCTGCTGAGCTATCTCGCCAGCCCTTAAGCCTGTATTTCTTTCTTTTAAAAATGGCCCTATTTTTTTGCCATAATTTTATTGATAAACAAATAGCAATGAGACAGTTTCAAATCAAATCGGTAGGACAGTTTCAATAATTAACACACTGCATAATTCTTCTTAGTGGTTAATTGCTGTACAAGATGTGGACCTGACATCCTATTTACAAACACCATTAGAACAAACCATTCTAGGGGCTGGAGAGATGGCTCAGTGGTCTAAAGCACCTACTTAGAACAAGTTCAGCGAAGCACAGGGACCACGGTTCAATCCCCCAGCACCACATGCCAGCCAGCCCGCCCCCTAGTGGGCTGAGCTGGCCACACACCTCTCTCTCTCTCTCTCTCTCTCTCTCTCTCTGTCTCTCTCTCTCTCTCTCTAATAAATAAAAAAAATTAAAAAAAAAAAAGAACAAACCATTCTATTCATTAAGAGAATGTAACTATATATCTATCCTAACCACTCTGAATACACAGATACAAAATGGACATTCATCTGTATACACTTTTTTTTGTTAAGTTCCATTATTTGAATATTATAGGTATGTAAATTCAGCAAAACATTCAAAAAGAGTCCAGCAGCCCACAATAGTATTGGGTCTTCCGCTTAACTGGCAATGTCACAAATTGATGACCTGAGTCCCCCATAGCTCAATACAACAGCATGGCTTTACTTCTTATATTTCATTTTTATACTTTTCTTCTGGATGGTTAAGACCAAGGTAAAGCAGGACCTGTGCAGCAAGAGTTGTAGCTTTTGGGTCTGATAAGATTAGTGAAATCCCCTCAGGATATATCCTGAGATCCTGAAAAATGGCTCCTATTTATTGATGAAGGGATAGGTAGTTGCTTGACCCTTGTCTGGAGTAAGAATCATTTCTCCTCCAATGAAAGAGGCTTCAAAGAAGCTGCTCCACTGTTGGAGAGCCTTCATGGACCTCAACTTTCCTTGTCTATAAAATAGGGATGCTAAGACCTATTTCACAGAATCACCCTTGAGCTCTCCACCTTACCAAGCCCTAGCTACACATTAAGGTTCAGTCAGGCCTTTCCTTTTCCATTTCTGTCACTTCCTAAAGCCTTATGGTTCTAATAATTGATAATAAATTAATTTCCATTAAATTCTACTTTGTTTCCTTTTATGTGTGTTAATTTGATCACTTTCGGTGAATTAAATTGTGAGTTTCAGAAGTGGAGGTTCTGGAATCATCCCTTAGTATCCCAAGTTTTCCAAATACTGTGCATTCAAAGTAATACCAAAAGCAATAAAGATAATAACCATTACCATTTAATGATGGACTATTATAGCCTAAGTACGCCTCTGAATATTTTTTCAGATTTTGGGCTCAGGGTCTCACTTTGTATCCCGGGTTGGCCTCAAACTTGCAGTGATCTTCCTGTCTTGGCCTCCTGATTGCTGGAATTACAGGTGTGTACCACCACAGCTGGCTTAAATTCTTTATATAATCTCTCATTTAACATTTAACAGTTCTATGAGTTAGATTCTACTAGGTCCAAATTACAGATGAACGAACAGAATCTCACATATCAAGTACTTGCTGAACCCAACTGATAAATCAACATCAGCAATTTTAACATTTGTATGTCTGATTCCATCACTCCACACTCCCCCATCACATCTACCACACTTCTCTTATAGTCATACGAAAATTTAAAAAAAAAAGAAAATATGAAAATCACACAACAGAGAGATAAATGTGGAGACAGATTTTATTATTAAGACAGATTACATGTACTGTTCAAATATTTTTCCTTCCTAAAAACCCTACCATCAAGGACTGATCTCGTAGAATTCTAAATACAGAAACAATCATCTCACAATATGCATTTTAGAGATGGAAGAACAGAGAATCATGCCAGTGCCATTAAGATTCTCATTATGATAATAAATGTGTTCCCTTCAGAGACCCGGAATTACCATTCTTTCCTACATGGTATCTCAGCCAGGTATTTTCCCCCATCTATTGTCTTGAATCCTTCTTGGGATCCACCTATACCATCCAAATAGCTGCAGAATGTTCTAGAAATGAGCAGGTCAGGGAGGAACTGCGTCTCTTTCTGAATCTTTAGCCTCCTCTGTTCCAGCCTCTCATGCCCACCTGTGCAGGCCAGTAACACTGAGACAATGAGGCTTAGGTCCTCTGCAAGGCGACTGGAAAACAGGTTCTCTACAGCTTCTTTTTCTTATTTTGTGACTCCCCTCCCTATTACCAGTGCACACACACACACACACACACACACACGCACGCACGCACGCACATGCACACACACAGCATCTTTTAAATGTAATAATGTCTTGATACTCTTAATATCCAATTCTTACCAACTTTTCCCTGCACTCACAGTGGCAGCCACCCATCCCATTATGGATCCTCCCAGTAGAGACAATGAACTAGTCCTTGGGGAAGGCCAGGCTTTACTTCAGCCTCTACCTGAGTCCCATGGGAGTCAGGGAAATTTAGGAGTCTCTATGCACTTTAAGTAGGGTCTTGATAAGATTCCCCTACTGCATGCAGGTCCTTGCTGATGTCTCTAGGGAGAGAGAGATCAGGGGACCTCAACAGCTATCATCATACTTTCTCTTGATTCTAAAAGCTCGAAGTCAATAAAAGAAATAGAAAATATTTTTCCAGTGTCTTTATCCCCCAAGGGGAATCTAAGAAGACAATTTTCTTTTTTAAAAATAAAGTCCAGAAAAATCCTACTGCTCTCAGTGGCTAGTGATTTATTCAGCATCTGAGAGGGGAAAGGACTTCCTGGGCATTCCTGTTAACAAAGTGGTCTTCAGACAAACACTGGATGAACAGCCAAGGGAAGAAGTGCAAGAATGGCTTCTATCATTGGGCTGAACTGTAAGACTGCATGAGAGGTGGTGTTAGAAATTCCAGTGCAGTTTGTGTATACAGTGACTCTCTGGAGGAGTTGGCACCCTCATGGCATGATTGTACATCCTGGCAGAAGTAAAGGCTGCAGCATCACCAAGGTGGGACATTTGCCTGAGACACATGCCAAGGCACCTGTAAAACTGAGGCTGGTCAAGTTCCAAGGATTCCCTTTTAAGACTGGGTAAAGGCAGGGGTAGCCAATGGCAGTTATAGGCCGCCTCACCACCTCTCCAAGATCTGGCCCAACAGAGGAAACAATAGGTTCAAGAGCACAGATAATCAAGTTCTTTGACTGGTGCCCCCTATTGCCTGAGAATTCTGAGTTCTTTCTTAAGGTGGGAGTGGAGGGTGTGATGTAGTCAAGAAAGCCACTGGAAACTGAGAACCTATCAGCTGTGTTGCTGGTATTCTATGCTTACAGCTATCCTTCTCCAGCCTGATTTTGTCACAGTTCCCTTCCCCTTCTCCCACCATCTTTACTGGATAATCTGAAAGACTGACCAAGTAAGCTAGTAGAAGATGGGGAAGGACAGCACCTGCTGGGTGGCAATCAGGAGTAAGCTCTCCAGAACTCTGGTTATACCTTCTAGAATTAATGAGCAATGCAAATGGGACTCACAGCCCAAAAGGAGCAGAGCAGTGGTGAGAATGAGAATGCGGGGTCAGAAGGAATTTTCTTCTCTGTGAGCCTCTTTTCTCCCCTCCTGGCCCTGGTTCTCCCATGGTGGAGGTTCACACTGATAGGTCGTCTGACCTGGCCTTGCTGCTGGTCTTGCTAAGACGGCGCTTCTCACTATAATAGCCCTGAGGAACGCGGTGACCTGATGAGACTCCATTGGGCATGTCAGGCTTCTCGCCATAATGGATATGGATGAAACCCTCCCCAGGAATCCGCTCCTGGCCTCGCACTTGCTCGGTGGCCAGGTTGTCTGTGTTCTGCTGAGAGACTGTATTGTTACTGAAGGGACTGAAAAACTTTCCCCCAGCGCCATTCCCCAGGCACTGAGTGAAGTCAGGGGGAGGTGTGCAACTCTGGACCACGCCAGCAGATGGGCCAGTACGTTGGCATCCAGTCGTGCTTGGCCTGGCCTTGACAAATCGATGTCTAATCTTCCAACCCAGGTGAAAGAGTTCAGCCAGGCTGAGGAAGAGGGACAGCGCAGCCACCGCCAGCATAAAGACAATGAAGACGTTCTTCTCTGTGGGCCGGGATACATAGCAGTTGACCGGGTGAGGACAGGGACTTCTGCGGCAGACATGCAGGGTGCTCAGAAAAACTCCATAGAGAAAGTACTGGCCCACTATGAAGGCCACCTCCATGGTGGTGCGGATCAAGATGGTGCAGACATAGGTGTTGAGCAGATTGCCCTGGAGGACAACCCTTCCATTTATTTCCTCCCAGCAGGATGGCTCTGGTTTCTCAGCCACTTGGTATTCATACGGAGAGCCTGAGCTGTGGATTTTGGCTCCCTCGGCTTCCCGTAGCTTCCTCTTCTCCTGCATGCGCACAAGGTGCATGGCGTGGCCCATGTACACTAGAGATGGCGTGGAGACAAAGATGATCTGCAGCACCCAGTAGCGAATGTGGGATATGGGGAAGGCTTGATCGTAGCAAACATTCTCGCAACCAGGCTGAATGGTATCGCACTGGAAATCTGCCTGCTCGTCCCCCCAGGAAGACTCGGCAGCCGTGCCCAACACGAGCATGCGGAATATGAACAGTACAGTGAGCCAGACCTTGCCGATTACGGTGGAGTGCTTGTGCACTTCCTCCAGGAATGCTCCCAGGAAGCTCCAGTCACTCATCTTGGCACAGGCAGGAAACTGACGCCAAGACTTCTGCGAATAGGGGAGAGAGAAAGAGGAGTTTCTCCAGAGGTCTAGAAGGTCCCATTCTGCTGTGGACATCAGTCCATACCAATGGGTTGTTTTCAAATTACAAGTTACAAGTCAAATACACACACCCAAAAAGCTTGTCCTATCCTCCCCACCCCCAGAAAAATAAAAAGAGCCAAATTAGAGCATGGCTCCCACACTAATTGATCTAGAACTTTACTGTGCTATGCTATAATGTGGATTCTATGCTTTTACCTTGAGATTCTACTTCAGGAAGGGTGGGGCCGCCTCCAAGAGTCTGAATTTTGCCACAAGCAGTCCAGGTGCTTCTGGTGTGATCAGTCCAGGAACTGCAGTGGAAGAAACACTGGAGTAGTGGAGAGAAATACAAGAGTGGACTCTGCAACCGGGCTCGGAGCACATGCTTCATAGTCTCCTCATCTTCCAGGTGGGTGTGGGAAAGAGTACTTACACCAGAGGTTTTGGACACTTGGAAGAGATGAGATAGGTGATACACTGAAAATTGTAACACAAGTGTTCTATATGTTTGAACTGTTGGAAAAATATCATGCCTCTATGGTATATAACTAGGTGGAAGAGAAAGGAGTGAAAATGGGAGTGGAAATTGTGGCTTTTGAGGAAGCACTGTGTCATGATCGGAAATATCCAACATGGACCCGCTGTGTGGAAAGGTGGTAAACAAAAGCATGCTTCACTCTAAAGGTATTACAGAGCAGTGTGGGCTTCTCTCAGCTGGTAAGCCTCAGGCAGCACTGATCTTCCTCTTCAATTCAACACAGCCGTACCAGACATGCAGCTTGGCCTTCTAGACTTTCTGCTCATAGAAGGTACCCAAGAGCTCCCGTTGTTCAATCATGCCAAGTCCTAACAGATTCCCCAAAGCCCTTCTAACTACCTCTTACCTGTCCTCTCACTCCTAGCTGAAATCCATCTACCTTCCAAAACTTAGTCATTGCTTTCTGTAGCTCTCCTTACTGCCTCTTCAGCTACTGCAGTGACCCTGGGAGTGTTCTCTCACTCTTCCCAGTACCTTCATCAGGCTTTGTAGTCCTCTGCCTGTCTGTGTTCTTCCAGGATGGACTTTGTGAAGAAAGAGACTACCTTTACCTTTGTCTTCAGAAACTCAGACTAACAGATTTTGGTTGAATTAAGGGAGGAATAAGAAACACTGATATTTCCCACACAATGGCAAGCCAATTCCCTATACTTTCTCTGCTTCCATTAGCAGAGTGAAAAGGTTAGAGAGCACTTTTTCTGGTCTCTACTGAACTTCAGGTTGGTGAGGTATGGGAGGAACCTAAAGTTTAAGAAGTGATCTAGAAAAGGCTTCCCCTTCTCCCAGTAAGCAGGGAGCCTCACTCATGGCCCTGCCTTCTCCACCTTCCCCACTGCTTCCTGCCTGTGGACAGGACTGTATAAGCCAAAATGCCTGAAGCTGCCCTGACACTCTCAGAAATGCTGACCAGTTCCTCTGAGGCATCTCAACCACCTTTCAAAACCCAAGCCTCCAAAATTCTTGCTTGATGAACAGTACATGCCTTTATAGCTTAAAATATGTAACCAACTGTAATCAGCAGGATGACACAGAGGAGAGAGCTGAACACAGATATTCTCTCCTTAAAATAATAAAACATCAGATTTGGATGGGACCTTAAAAACTGTCAAGTTTTATAAAAACAAAATATAAGAAGTTGGGGCCGGGGAGATAGCTCAACAGAATAAGCGCTTCCCTGGCAAGCGCAAGGGCCTGAGTTCAATCCCCAGTTCCGCCAAGAAAAAAAAAAAAAAAAAGAAGTAAAGCCATGCTGTTATGCTGAGCTGTAAGGAACTCAGGTTAACAATTTCTGACACTGCCAGTCAAGTGGAAGACCCAATACTATTATGGGCTACTGGACTCTTTTAGAATATTTTGCTGAGTTTACACACCTATAATATTCAAATAACGGAACTAAACAAAAAAAGGGCATACAGATGAACGTCCATTTTGTATCTGTGTATTCAAAATGGCTAGGATAGATATATAGTTACATTCTCTTAATGAATAGAGGGATTTGTTCTAATAGTAAATAGGATATCATGTCTGCATCTTGTACAGCAATTAACCACTAGGAAGAATGTATGCAATGTGTTAATTATTGAAACTGACCTACCAATTTGGTTTGAAACCGTCTCATTGCTATTTGTTTCTCAATAAAATTATGGGGAAAAAAACTGTCAAGTTTAAGTGTTACCCTTCCTATGTATGCTGCCAACAAGCCCTTGTTCTTTTTTTTTTTTAATTAATTTATTTATTTATTTTGTGTGTGTGTGGCTAGCTCAGCCCACCAGGGGGCGGGGCTGGCTGGCATGTGGTGCTGGGGGATTGAACCGTGGTCCCTGTGCTTTGCTTAAGCTTAACTTGTTCTAAGTGGGCGCTTTAGACCACTGAGCCATCTCACCAGCCCCAAGCCCTTGTTCTTATTGTGACATTGCTCATGCTAATAGGACAAGAAGGGGTGCGGGAGGGTTGCACTTCATAGTCAAGTGTTTGGCAGAGGACAGCCTCCTCATCTGAACTTTTCCAGCCTCCAGTTCTCCAAACTTGAGAGTATGAAAAGTCCTTGGGACTAAGGGATTCCCTGAGGGAGAAGAAAATGTTTTATCTCTGCTCCCTTCCATATCAAAGACCCATCCAGGTCTTCAGGCCTTGCCTGTAGTTTGTTATTAAACATCTTCTCCTTTATGAAGGTGATGAGACTCCCCTCTCCGGGCCTCCAACTGTGAAAAAAGCTGGAGGATTTGATCTTAAGAAAGACGGTTGATAAGAATTTGAATGATCTGTTGTCTCTTCTGGGTATTGTGTGCACTGCCCAGCACTTCCAGTTTCAGCCACAGACCTGCGGTGATGACCTTAAGACCTTAAGTGTCTAAGGGGAAGAAAAGAAATGGGGGAGTATAGGAAGAGAAAAGAATCCAAAAAGAGGAATGACACAAGAAGTTAAAAATAGAGTTGAAAAAGTCATGCGATGATTTAAGAAGATGGGCATGGGAGTCAAATAACTGGAGTTCTTGTCCCTGCTACTGTCCACTGAGCTGGTATAAATTGTTCGATCTGCATTTTACACCTCATAGCACTGTATAAGCAAAACAATCATAACTCGCTCCAATTTACAGATGAGGGAAATAAAACCCTATAAGAATTGAATATAAGGCAGCTGTTACTAGCAAAATAAGTGGTAGGGAAGGGTGAAGGTAAAACAAGAGAGAAAAAAGCAGAATACAGTGGAAGCAGAGAAATGCAAGTAGAAATTCAAAGGAATGAAAAAAGAAATAAATGTTATATTCTTTCAAGATTTGGGACAAGTTTTCCATACTCAATCACTAAAGCCATTTCTCTTGATCTCGTATCTATGTCATTTGTTTTTTGCAAGTCCCCAAGGAAGTATATAAAAATAGATTCAGATCAAAAAAATATGACCCTTTGATCTGGTTTTGCCTGTTGACGCCTTTGCTTACGGTCCACGAATCCCACCTACAAGAAATAAAGCACAAGTTCAGGAAAGGAATATCTTGGAAATCAGAAAGACAGTAATAGGAAGGGTTTCTCACAGGGAGCAAACAATAGAAATTAACTTAGGAGGTATAGGGGTAAAGTCGATTTTCAACAAATGAATGAAAGCAAAGGATAGAGGGAACATTAGGAGACTTGAGGAAGTAGGCTAAAGGACTTTTACGATTTCTTACTGACTGTCAAGCAGAGTCAGGGAAGGTTAAAATTGTTACCATGTACTGGCACTCAGCTGATAATGTAAAAGTTTGACAACTGAAGCCAGTTTTCTAGTCCTGTTGGCTCTCAGTAGGCCACTCAGCTTCAGCCAAAGAAATTTGTAGCTGAGTGAGTTTACTGAGTTTACAGAACATAAAATTCTCTGTAGATTATTATCTGTTTCTTGGCAGGAAGTGTATTAGGGAGAGGCAGAGGAAGCTGCCCTTGGCATGAATAAATTCTGTCAAATACAATGGCGATTTCCCTCCTTGCTCTAGCTGTAATTTTTACTGGTTTCCTACCACTTTTATTTTATTTATTTATTTTTTATTTTCATTTTTATTTATTTATTTATTTTTTTGGTACCGGGGATTGAACTCAGGACCCTGTGCTTGCCAGGCAGGCACTTATGCTACTAAACTATCTGCCCAGCTCTCTTACCACTTTTAAAGTTCAGACTTGAGCCCTCCCCAACAGCGAAAGAGGTGGCCCTTGAATTTGGAAGCAGACACACCAACTCTAAACATTCTTCCCTTCACAAGCTTCAGCATCCTTTTTTTATATAACTTGAGACAAGTTAAATTTTTTGGGGGGAAGGCAAGATAGCTCAGCAGATTAAACACCTGCTTAGGCAAGCACAGGGACCAGGGTTTGGCCCCTGGCACCACAGGCCAGTGCCAGCCCTGCCCCCAGGTGGGCTGAGTTGGCCACACTGACTCATGCCTGTAATCCCAGCACTGAAAGCAGGAGGATCACTAGAGTCTGAGTTGCATAGTGAGACCCTGTACCAAATACATTATAAATAAATAAGTAAATAAATAAATATTGGGGGAGTCACTGGGGAATTTGTTTAGTGATAGTAATATGGTTCTTGCGTAAAGACAAAGGGGCCAGACTGTATAGAATGGGTATAAATCATTTCATGGCTGGACTTCATGACTCATGTGATTAGAAATGCAACTCAGGCATGAACATTTCCAAGCCAGTGCTCCTCCAGATGTCTACATCATCATACCCATACACAGCTGATGTTTTCATTTCAAAACAACCCACATTAGTAATAAACTGCCAGCTATGACCTCTTCCTCTGACCCCTCCGATGTAGGAGGAAGTGAAAGGCTGACCTTGGCTCCCTTGGCTGCTTCCTGGACTCCAAGTTACAGTGCCATCCCCTTGTAGGCTACACTCTCACACTTGGTTATATGTTGCCTTCAGTTTGTTCTCCAAACATTTTTGCCTCCACCAATGAGCAAGCGCTGCTTAGAAATTCTATCCTACACCTACCACCGTTCTGAGTACAGAGTTCTGAGTCCTGAGAACAATACCTCGGTGGTGCTAGCTTCGACGAAAGTTAAGCCCTCGATGACATCTATTAAGCAAATCTGCTGGGTGCTGGTGCATGCCAGTTATCGCAGTTCTTGGGGGACTGAGATAAGTGGGTTGCTGTGAGTTCAAGGCTAGCCTAGAATAGACAGTGACACCCTGGCTCAAACAACTAAATAAATAAATTTAACAAAATCTGGCATGATTCTTTCCCTCAAGGATTTAACAGCCTTTCTTTCTTTTCAAATGAGAAGTTAACTT